CCCCAAAACCCCAAAACCCCAAAACCCCAAAACCCCAAAACCCCAAAACCCCGAGCAAAGTTTTTAAAATTGAATTAAACTACCATCAGAGGAAGTCTAGGGATTATAAATATTATTTACGAGCTTTCATTATTCATTTTTCTCTTCTTCTAGATTTTCCCCATGCGCTTCATCTTCATCTTCCTGTTCTTCGTGATGGTCTTCATCCTGCTGATCGTCACCTTCGTGCTCTTCGTGCTCTTCGTGCTCTTCGTGATCATCATCTTGCATTAATTGTTGATCTTCTTCATTTTGAGGAGCTGTTTCTCCAAGTTCTTCGCCGTCAGCCGGAGCTGCACCTCCAGCTCTCTGATCAGCGAGGTATTTAGGATTAAGTAAGTATAATCTCTTGTTCATCACTTGTAGACTTGAGGCCATTAGTTCATAGTTATTTTCAAATTCTACCATGAGCTCATTAGCTCTCTTATCAGGCAGAGTGATTAAGAAGCTCTCTGTACTTTCAACATCATATGCAGCGATAAAGAGGTTACTACTGCTGCTAGAAATTTCTACTATGTAATATCCGCTTCCTAACTGCTTTCCCTTCTTATAATGAACCAGTCTGTTCTCATCAAGAGCCTCGGCTTGCTTCACTATCGGTGCGGTCTTGGCAGTATGATTCTTATTCCTCCAAGTCTGTCTTGGCCCTAAAGACCTTGGGCGATAAGCAGTGCCAGCTGCTTCAGAACGGTTATAAAGTCTTTTTCTTGATTTTTTATCATAATCATCAGGATATTCGCTCATGTTCTTGAGTAAATCCTTTCTCATCTTGTGCTCATGCTCCCACTTAGCTACATTATAATTAGAGTTCTTGTCTTGAAGTCTTCTTAAAATAGCCTGATTCTCAAGGGTAATTTTAAGCAGCTCCTGCTTTCTCTGCTGCCGATTCAAGCTCTTCTTCGTTTGGAATGCTGGATAATTAGCAAACCGATCCTGGCTAAAAGAAGTTGAAGTCCTGTTAGGTTTCTGCATGATACTAGTCATTTTCTCAAGCAGAATACGGTTTTCTCTTTCTATCTCAGTATACCTGTCTTCGAGCATTTGCTCTTTCTTGGCCCTTGACTTAAGGTGTTTAAAAGCTTTGGGTTTTTTGAGGTTAATAGTTGGTTTAACTTTCCTTAGCTTTTCCATATGGATTCTTCTCTCTTTATCCTGCCATTTCTTGGTCAATAACTTGTTACCACTCGGAAGTCCTCTGTACATTTTTGATTCAAATTTATTTTTCTAAAATTTAATTATTCCATATCAACTTCATGCTTGGGGTTTTGGGGTTTTGGGGTTTTGGGGTTTTGGGGTTTTGGGGTTTTGGGGTTTTGGGG